GGACAAAAATCGCGCTGTCGCAAATTGAATAAAAATGTGTACGATAAAAACAGCTGGATATGTGGTTGTGAAGAAACGAATAAACTATTTTGTTTTGTATGTGTTCTATTTGGAGGTGACGAGACTTGGTCAAAAAAAGGTACAGACGATCTTATACATATATGGGATAAAATGAAGACCCACGAAAAATCTAAAGTCCATATGAATAATGTTTTTAGCTTTTCTATTCTTGGTAAATTAAATATAAGGACTCAACTCAATTCGGCTTATCGCAATGATCTAGTTAAACATAATAATCAAGTGGATAAGAATCGATATGTATTGAATAAAGTTATTAATTGTATAAGGTTTTGTGGAGCATTTGAGTTAGCCTTAAGGGGTCACGATGAAAAGGAAAATTCGGAAAACAGAGGCATATTTAAGGAGCTGGTGAATTTTAGCGCCGAATTAGACAACGAATTGAAAGTCCATATTCAAAGTGCCAAACTTTTCAAGGGACAAAGGCAAAAACAACTCAAAACGAGCTTCTTGAGTGCATGCTAGATGTTTATCATGAAGAAGTTAAGAAGGAGATTGCAAATTCTCCTTTTGTTGCAGTAATTGCCGATGAAACGACTGACGTAGCCTGTGAATTTCAGTTAGTTATTATTTTCAGATATTTGTGTAAAGGACAACCAGTTGAGAGATTTTGGAGACTTTACGTCCCCGACGGACACGATGCCAAATCAATCGCTGCATGCGTTTTAAATGTTGTAAATCCATTACTAGATCAAAATCCAAACAAATTAATAGCTCAAAGCTATGATGGTGCGTCTGTTATGAGTGGTGAATTGAATGGCGTTCAAAAAATTATTAAGGAAACTTATCCACTTGCAAATTATGTTCATTGCTATGCACACCAGTTAAATCTAATTATGACAAGCGCATGCTCTGTCAATAAGCAGGCTAGAATATTTTTCCATAATTTATCTGGATTGTGCTCTTTTTTTTCGACGTCTCCTCAAAGAACAAAAATTTTGGATGAAATAGTTAATTGCAGATTGCCAAGATCTTCCCAAACACGTTGGAATTTTCAGTCACGAGGTGTTCATACAGTTTATGAAAATAGGAAAGACCTGATTGAAGTTATGGACAATATAGAAAGTACTTCACGCGATTCTTCGTCGATTAATCAAGCCAGTGGGTACAAATTAAAGCTGCAAGATACAAATTTTGTATTTTGGCTAAGTATATTCCATAAAATAATGCCACATGTTGAAATTGTCTTTAACCAATTACAAAAAGTATGCACCGATTCTGTTAAGGTCAAAAATGATTTAGAGAATTTTGAAGCAGCAATTCAATCTATACGAGAACAAATGGATAGCATTATTGACGAGATTGAACGAGTGCAGAGAGAAACTGATGAACCGGCAAGAAAAAAAAGGCAAGTTGAAGAAGGCAGCAAAAAACGGGAAGCGTTAGAAATATGCGATGCAGTATTATCGCAAATAAGAACAAGATTTAACTTTTCTGGACATTTAGTTGCTTCTAATTTATTTGTGTCTGAAAAGTTTTCTGTTTATAAACATCAGTTTCCTAAAGCACATTTAAATGACACATGCACACAATTTTCATTTTTAGACAAAAACAGGCTTAAAACAGTTACAAGTATTATATCATTGAGAAGAATTGAGTACTACTTCTGGAGCTGTTCCACTATCCATTTTATTGAACGAGGAAGGATTAAATTGTACGTTTCAAGAAACTCTTAAGCTCTTAAATATTTTAATCACTATACCGATGTCAACATCTGAAGCAGAACGCTCTTTTTCAATGCTGAAACGGATTAAAACTTTCCTCAGAAACACAATGAAGGAAGAAAGGCTTAGTGCTTTAGGAATGCTGTCTGCAAAAAAACATTTTGTTAGTGGCATTGAAAATTTTAATAATAAGGTAATCGAAAACTTTGCTACCAAAAAAGAAAGAAGAATGGACTTCATGTATAGAAAACTTTGAAGTTATAGGTACTTCTCCACACTTGTTTTATAATTTGGTGCGCGTGTGTAAATAGTTTTATTTTTGATTTTTTTTTGGACATATAGATTTATTGAACCTCAAGAACTTTGACCACTAACTATCAGGGGTAAGTTATAAGTTATTCTTTACAATTTTGAATCGATTCAAAATTATGGCTTCCATTCTGGCACTACCTCACTGAATTGGCACGAGCCGCCACTGTCTTGACACCCTGGCAGATCCAACTTTCCAACAAGTTAATGCCCGACCACGTGTTGCAAGAGTCACAATAGACTTCTTTCAACATAATGATGTCACATTGTTACCATGGTCACCAAGATCTCCCGACTTATCCCCACTTGAGCACGTGTGGGATATGATGGGTAGGAGATTGCTCAATTTGCAACGTCCTCCTCAGACTCCAGAAGCACTCCGAGAGGAGTTGGTGGTTGCCTGGAATGAGATACCACAGGAGGACATTGACCACCTGATCAGAAGCATGTCTAGGCGCGTTGGAGAATGCGTAGCACATCAGGGTGCATCCACACATTATTAAAGTTCAAAGGGCTTTAAAGCAGTGCAATCATTTTGAAATTTTTATCATTTACTTATTATGCTTCATTAAGTACTTATACAAAATTTTATTAAAATAAAACCATTTAAACTGGGTGTTCGGATTTATATGTCACTTAGTATATGTTTAAGAGAGGATGAACATGCCTTTATAAAATGTGTGGCTATTTTTTGTCTCATTTAAGAACACAAAATTTAACATTCAAGCTATTACTTGTTTGATGTTGAAAATATTTTTACTTCAGTGTATTTCTAATTTTTTAATGGATATGATGCTAATTACTAAAATATAAAACACGAATATGTCTGTAATGTATTCCTAACTTTGCTTAACATTGCAAAGTAATATTCATGTGTTAGTCATTGAATAACGGAAAACGTAAGCATTTCTAAAGCATTACTTGATCAAGCGGCACTCTATTTCATCGGGCTTAAGTTTTTTAAAAAAAAATATTACATACATTTTGTACCTAATATCAGTTCCTAATCTCAGAACAAAAGTCAATTAACACAATCGCCCCATTAATTTTTAATGAATTGTTTAAGTGTTTTCATCCTTCGGAAAAAAAAGCTTTTTTAAGCCTGCTTGATTCATTTGTTATACGTGTTCGTAGCTACTTTGTTTCTCAGGAGCTGACTCGTGAACTGATGACATCATTGCGTGGAAACCCCTGAAGCAAAAACTCACAAGCATTTGAGCCGAGTGCGCGTTTTTAATCTACAGCCTTGTACTATTTAAAATATTTTATATTTTACGTAGGTACTATTTCATCTGTATCAGAATAGGCTTCTTAGTCTGACCCCAACACCCCTGAGGATTGGACTACATGGAATTGTGACAGTGGACAACAAATTATTACTAGTCACTAGGAAAAATAATCAATACAATTATTATATCAACCTCATATAATTGTCTATAAATAATAACTTCTTGGAATGTGTTACGTGGAAAATCGCATATCACCCAGACATATAATTAATAGATAAAATACTCTGACGCACATTTTTATACGTTTTCATTAAGTTCACGGTTGTATAACTTCGTAACTTGTTTACTCCCAAATTATAGTAAAATATGGGATAATCGTAAACCTTGAGCACGTGATAAATATCGATATTACACCAAACCGTTGCAACGATTAAAATTGGTCATGATACCAGTCTAAGCGGAACTTTGCAAGTACAGCCTCTGTCAACAGAGAGAGAGAGAGAGAGAAAGAGTCAGAGAAGCCATGTTTACACCGTGAGTGGCTAACCTATGAAGACTAGAGATAGCAGGAGTGGGGGTGAAGTCAAAAATGTCGACGATGAAATTCTACACTGCTAAACAACTCCACTTTTGATCATTCGGAAAAGTTTCCAGCAGAGATATTGGATAATTTTAATAAACTACTAAGTAATAAACCTACAAAGCATTGAAAAACTCGAGCGAAATACACATAAAGATCGCGGCAGGTTATTATTATGACATTTTTCAAATCGCAAAGTTTTCCTCCGAGAACCTCAATGTTATCTGATAACGTTTCTACCAAACTTTTTTGTCGCGTCTCGGATGGCTCATGATATGTAAAGAATTATCTCCTATCCATGTGTGAAAAAACCTTTGAGATTGCTCAAAAAATAAACGAGATAATATTGAAATACGATGTAAAAATATATTCGACTTGCAAGATTATAAGTCCTGTTAAAATTTATTATATTCCACTTGACACCCATATCAGGTTAGGTTAAATAAAAGCTTGTCAAAAATACAGAACTTTTTCCATGCACATACTTTTTCTTCTAAAGTAAATGAAATCACTTAGATTTGAATTATTATTATTTAAAGCCAACATACGCAGTTTCTGTTATAATAGGAAGGAAAAACAATAATATTGGCAATCCAGATCGCCCCTTATCATAACCCTTAACATAGAAATTTACAGTCACTTCTCCTTCTTTACGTAAGTGAGTTCATAACGGAAATTGCTGTTAATTCCTAAACAGATAATTATTATACTACCGCTGTTAAATGAACGAGTATCACAATCAAGTGAGCGAATGTTGGTTGAAATCGTTTGAAATCTATAAGCGGTGTGTACGTAAATTTAGCCTTGCGGATTAGTTTATTCTAGAATAATATTAATTAATGCTATAATATTATAGTTATGTATGCATGCAAAAGCACATGCAACTAGTAAACATTTATAACGCGTTATTCGTCTTCTAGATAACGTGAAATGCAATATCATCAATATATGGAGATGTTTGGGATTGCTTAATGAAAGATTACACATATTGGAATCTTCCGTTCGTCATTGTCAGTTAAAGCGGTCCGTATGACATCTGCTCTTGGTTAAGGATATTTTTGGCAGATCAAGTTGCCCCCATTTTGAAATAAAGTATTCGCATGTACTCTACAGGTGCTTATAATTGTTTCTTCTTTTCAGTTCCCACCAAAGGACCGACAGAAATCGTAACGACGTTAGTTCCTGTGGGTCCTAACCCCACTCATATGATCTGTCCCTACTGCCAAGCCGAAATCGACACAACTACCAAGTCAAAACCGGGTCTGATAGCTTACATATCTGGAGCTGTATTATGTTTGATAGGGTAAGTAAGTTTTAACATCCGGGATCAGCTTCTGGTTCGCACCTCTCTTTCGTCACTTTTAGCTTCGACGCAGTTTTTATAGAGCGCACATCTCTCCGCACCCAGCATATCGATTGGCGGGATACCAGCCACCACCAGCCAGTGCATCGATCGACACTCGCAGCGCTACTTTTCGCTGGCTGGCTTAGCTGTCCATATATCTTCTTCCTCAAGGTCTTGTTGTAGGAGCTCCGTACAGCATTTACTTAGCTCTAGTCTAAATCTGTTTCAATTAATGGAAGTATCTTCTTATTCTACTGATATCCATGCATGAACGTTTGCGAGAACTACTGATCATTCCTCTATATATCTAATGGAGTGTGTACGTATAGATTTGCGTTTTTCTATGTTTTGGAGCCTCATTTTCCTTCGTCCTGTTTCCCGTATAGAAGTCGTGAAAAAATCGAAAATGAATATAATGCTTTTTGGATGTTATACAACACCTACACCACGAAAAGTCACGTTACTCATTTCTGTCGGCGTTGTACATTCACACGGGCAATACTATAAGTGTTTACCGACTGAAAAGTAACTTAAAACGGGTACGTAAAGAAACTAGGAACTGGTTTAACTGAGATACTTGTTGACATGTAGGTCAGCAACTGCTTTCTTTATATGGCCATTCGGATAGAATACCGTTTTATTTACTCTGACCATTAAACATACAGAAAGTGGCTGTTGCTCTATTTCGCTATATACGTTATATTGTATATGATCGGCTTCGTAGATTTATTGTAATCATCATCAAAGACCCAAACTTGTGAGCCTTGGTCGGCACATCGTAATAATAGAGAGCCAAGTCTCGTCACATGTCACGATGCTGCTCACATACCGAGATTGTCGCTTATCAAACATTTTCTGGATCTTTCGGCACCAAGTCGTACGACGTGTAAATCTGTAAATGGTCACGCAGAATCGAATGAATTGCTGGTGCATGAAGGTGTAAGGTATCCTCTATCTGTCGGTATATCACTCTCCGGTCTTCGTCAAGCATCTTCCTCACAATCTCACTACGTGACCACGATGCCATCGACTGCACTTTACACTGTCAATACGAATGAACAACTAAATCAACAGACGTGCTGCTAGCGGCTACTATGCACTCATAGACTGTCTCAACATACATCCACCGGTTGTTAAGTCATATTGCAAAACTTTTATAGTACCCGTTGTACTTAGCCTCACCATCCCCAGGTTTGACCACGTACGACGTTTTGTGTTTCCAAACTTGAAAAAGCCACTCAACGGGCAGAAATTTGAAACGAATGAGGAGTTTGTCGTCGATACGGAGGTCTACTTTGCACACCTCCAGAAAACGTATTTTTCAGACGGGTTAAAGGAGTTGGAGCATCGCTGGGTCAACTAAAATGAGACTATGACGTGAAATAAATCGTCACTTTTCCAAAAGTACTTATCGGACAGCCCGCGTATATCGATAATCTAATATAAATATTCCAATTTTGAGTTAATCAAAAGTACAATCTTTCACGAAAAATCGTACATTCTACAGTAACGTACCTCAACTGTTGTTATATCATATTAATACGTGAAAGGATGGAAGGCATTCGTGATAATTTGGATATTCCAACCTTTCTTCACAAGCTATAATTAACTTGCCGCTTGCTGGTTCCCACATACAGTTGTACGTCATCAAAAGGATATTTCCGATGTTTTTTATCTTACTTTACCAAACCACATGTGTCATGGGATTCGTTTTTTTGGTCCGTTTTTACATTTCTTGGAGTGACGTACATATTAATTTATCTGTCGTCGGTGATGTCTATCTGTTTTGTGAGAAAATTGTATCTAAATCGATTTTTTTATTGGGAATTCAAGATTCCGATAGATAGTTCGTAATGTTATGGATATATACTAAGTGACATATAAATCCGAACACTCAGTTTAAATGGTTTTATTTTAATAAAAGTTGGTGAATGTATTTATCTTACTATAAATAACAAGTGAAAAAATTTTCAGCCTTATCAGTTGGACATTGCGGTTTTTATACTGTTTTTTTTTAATTCACAAACGCTATAAAAAGGATTATTTCAGCCGCAGTGAAGAATCAACGTTGGCGGATTTTGGTTCTTGACATCCTTTACGATCGGTTACGATGCCTAGAGTACGGAGACCTGTACGATTTCGTCAACTTAGTGAGTTTGATAGGGGCCGTATAGTGGGACTTCGGGAAGCTGGACTTTCTTTTCGGGCAATTGCAGTTAGAGTGCAAAGAAGTTTAGACACTGTGCTTAGGTGTTGTCAGGCATGGCTTCGAGAAGGCCGTACGCAAAGAGCAAGGGGCACTGGACGCCGCCGTAGAACAACAGACCGTGAAGATCGCCGCCTAAGATTATTAGCCTTAAGGGACCGTTTCTCCACTACCAGGTCCATTGCAAATGAATGGTTTGCAGAACACGGAAGACCTATTGGCATGCGAAGTGTTTACCGATGAATGACAAGTTTTGGCTTGTTTTCATACCGGACACACTGGGTCCTCCCTTTAACTCGAGAACACCGACGTAATCGCCTTGAGTGGTGCAGACAACAGTCACTCTGGGATCAGGAATGGAACAGTATTGTCTTTAGGGACGAGTCTCGATTTTGTTTAGGCATGCACGATGGTCGTGCCAGGGTTAGAAGGCGACGTGGTGAAAGGAGGAATCCACAGTTTTTTGTTGAAAGACATGTTCATCACACTGTTGGAGTTATAGTTTGGGGTGCTGTAGCTTATGGTTCCAGGTCACCTTTAATCTTCATCAGAGGTAACATGAACGCGCAGCGTTATATCCACGAAGTTCTAGAACCCCATCTTTTACCCTATCTTGACACCCTGGCAGATCCAACTTTCCAACAAGATAATGCCCGATCACATGTTGCAAGAGTCACAATAGACTTCTTTCAACATAATGATGTCACATTGTTACCATGGCCACCAAGATCTCCCGACTTATCCCCAATTGAGCACGTGTGGGATATGATGGGTAGGAGATTGCTCAATTTGCAACGTCCTCCTCAGACTCTAGAAGCACTTCGAGAGGAGTTGGTGGTTGCCTGGAATGAGATACCACAGGATTACATTGACCACCTGATCAGAGATCAGAAGCATGCCTAGGCGCGTTGGAGAATGCGTAGCACATCAGGGTGCATCCACACATTATTAAAGGTCAAAGGGCTTTAAAGCAGTGCAATCATTTTGAAAGTTTTATCATTTACTTATTATGCTTCATTAAGTACTTATACAAAATTTTATTAAAATAAAACCATTTAAACTGGGTGTTCGGATTTATATGTCACCTAGTATACAACATGTCACGACTTCAAAAGCGCCATCAAAATGTTTAACTGGTTTTAGACGAGTTACGCAATGATTTTATTTTGATTAAAAACGATTTTTATCAATAGGCATCAGGTAAAGGTCACTTCAAACGGAAGGTTGTTTCATCTGCGGACGATAGTGGATGATGGTGACGACTTTGGTGATATTGTAAATGTTATTTCCTTTACAGATTTCCACATACTGCCTATTCTATATGAAATCCTTTAAGATTAAAGCAAAAATAAAAAGTCTATCTATATCTATCCTGTAGTGATTCTTACGTCATATCCTGAGCTACGCAACGCTGAGTGCAGATGTGGTTAGGTAAAAATGATGCGGAAGCGCTTCGAATTCAGATGCAAATATCTGCAACATCCGTACGCATCGTATATAATAATAAACAATATAATCGTATGGGACGTATAAAGATAACAAATAAGTGATGAAATATAACATTCATCGTGTCTGTAAGAGCATGTACAGCGTGTCCCGGAGTCGCTTCTCTATACAGGGATTTTCGGTTCCTGTTATACCTACAGCAAAGGTTGAATGAGGAAAGTTTTAGAGGAAACTTAGTGCTTTCGATAGCCGGCCTCAGATTTACGATCGGTCAATTGGTTTTGGAAATATCAGCGAAAAACAAAATGGCGGAATTTGTGTGTTGTCAGTAGTTTGACGGCTGTCAAAATGTGACATTCGTACAACCCAGCAACCCTCGTCAACTTTAATTTTTCTTATGGCCGCCATATTGGACACAAAACGCGTTGAATTTTCAATAGAATATAACGTTAATATCGACTTCTCAACAAGTCAAAAATGTCAAATTCCCAACTATGAGTGTGTTAAAAAAACAACTCAGAAAAATCGTCGTAAATTTACTTTGGGGCCATTCAAGTATTACGTGAGCACTATGGCTTTGCTTATTTTGGATGACATGGGGGTAGGGGAGTCTAGATGATGATTACGTCATAGGTAGTTATTTACTTTTTCTACACGAATGGCAACCCTCACATTGTCTTTGCTTGAAAATGAAATGCATGTTCGGGGATTCCCGCAAATAATGCATACGTTTAGTGAAGAGCGCGCGGTAATTCCCCTACTCGCTTTAGAACCGAGTAGGGGAATTACCGCGCGGTGTTCACTTGTCTAAATTTCCTCTATCAGTGTATTGTTTCGTTTGGATACTATAGCGAGTAGACGTATTGTAAGCATAGTAAAGCAAGTTACCATTGATTCCATTAGCCAAAGTTTAATGTTTAAATAACATGTCTTTTCACATAGACAAATCCAAGTTATACCAAAAATTGTTTGAACGTTTTAAAAAATCTCATGCAAGTTCGAAAGTGCAGAATGTACAAAAGTTAGTTAACGAAGTGTGGCGAAATTACAAATTACAAGCAACATCCGACAAATAACTAGATATTGTTGTATCTAAGAGAATCGAAGAAGAATTGCAAGTGGCGACTAAGAATAAATCCAATCTACTAAATTTTTTTTCTAAGGTGAGGGACGAAATCATTTTAGGTACCTATGAGTACTAGAAATATTAGAAATCGCCAAAAAGTTTCTGTCTACTGATTAGAAAATATTATGGCCTATCTCAAAGTATAGAGGTAATATTCATTATATTATAGATCTATTTCTT